TGTAGATGTCCAGTAAGACCATCCATAACTAAAGCAAAAAGATATGGGCTTAAAGTCGATCCCTGATGTAATCCAACAGAAATAGGAAAATATTTTGTCAATCCTCCTTCAGTTTGAACACAAGTAACAACTCTAGTATACATATCTTTAATGACTTGAATATAAGTCATATCAACACATTTCTTCTCGAGAACTCTCCAAAGGATATCTCTTGGAACCTTATCGTAAGCTTTTTCTAAATCAAAATATGCTTTGTTTGCATAACAATAAAAATGAATTATACAGATTATTCAGAAATAAATTTACCCGCTCGGTAGAAAGGTTTAATCCCAAGTTTGATTTCTGAAGTCAACCTGTCACTTCACTTAATAGAAGGTTTGGTTCCCACTCTTATTTTCGTGACCGCAGACCCATAACTGCTGAAGTTTTCACAGTATGAATTGCCTTGGTAATCCCTAGCCCTTTCCTATTGCCTTTCATGTTAGCTTTTTTAGCACAGTAGAGCTTATGCACAAAAAGCTTCAAATTCTGTATCACCGGCTCTAAGTTAAATGTTTTTAATGCGGCCGCTGTGATTTTTTTTCTTGTGTTCTTGTCAGTATATTTTATTTCTATTTCTTTTCATTTTAATAATGTTTCTTAATGCTTCATGTTTTATACATCATTGAGTGGTAATTAATCTTGTTTGCTATATGTAAAAGAACAAAAATTCTCTCTCTTCCAAAATCAGGGACATGAATTACAATAGGAACTATAATCAGCGCAAAACTATAGTGACTTGGTTGCCAGTCAACAGGACTGACTTCCAACTACAGGGAAAACCACAGGTTAATAAGAGACTCGACACATAACACCATTAATGGACACGAACTTTAAAACTATTGAAAAAAACAGAATCTATTCTCTACATGGAATAATCATCGGCATAAATTCAATGAACTAAAGCAAAAATTAGAAAACTACATCGTAGAAAACCTAAAGCAAACCGAAGTAATAAATTTGCTCAGATCAAATTGCTCGTTGCAGTGTATATGATATGTTTCCTGCAAAATATTAATTATGGTGAATTGAACATTTGATTTTGGTCTAAAAAACTTAAGCAAAATTATTTTGGCATTTTATAAAGTAATTCTCGAATCATTGCAACTAGATTTATAATGTCAATGCATATAATATTTCTCCTATGCACCGTTAGTAGTGGACACAATGTCATAAGGTAAGATAACTTCTAGTACACAAGGTGCATGACAATCTCACGAAGTATTGGGTGTGAATTCACAACTCAAACAGGGGGATGGAGATAGAAAAAATCAGAGCATTGTAGCTGGGTAATAAAATAATGTCAACTCAAATACATTGAAAGCCGAACTAATTCCAAAACTTTCAAGAATATTCAATTTATAAGCATTCATGATATTTTGTTGTATGCTTTTATGTGGTTCCACCTTTCTAATATTTATTTGCTTAAAAGCTTGTTATTTGAAACCTTTCAAGATTTGGTTATATCATTACTTTACCTTCTGGTTTAAAATTTACATCTCTTGTTCACATTAATAATAGACTTATAATTGCTATCAATCAGATTTTTATGAATTTATTTCTGTAAAGCATGCATTCACAAAAATAACAATATGATATAAAACAAAAAAAAAGAAAAATATTTTATTTTACATTCTCAGGGATACTTGCAATATGCTATGAATAATTTTTATAGATTATAAGGATAAAGAAAATTTAAATCAAGTGAACCACTTAGATATGGCATGCTTATGTTGAAAATTATCTTTTAAAGAAATAAATTCAAATGGCTCAAAGTTGAATTTTGGTCGGTTAAGCGCTTTTAGATTCAACTTGATATGTTTATAGTAAATTAAATTGAGCATTTGTTGATCACATTGAATCATCACTTCTAAATTTATCCGTCAATGAATAAGATAACCTCTGTTAGAATAGAACATAAGATAAGTTTTATTAATGCAAGGAGGGATACAAATACCAATTATAGGATCTACTAGTAAGGAAAGAAAAAAAATCAGAATAAAGGGGAAAAAAGAAAGAAAATAAAATCAAATCAAAGTAATTCAAATAGAAGTCAGCATATTAATATTTTAAAATTCTAATACTTCCCTTCAAGTTGAAGCTTAGATGTCAGTAATGTTCAACTTAGATTTGAAACCATCGAACATTGGTCGAGGAAGGTTCTTTATGAGAATATTTGCTAGCTGGTGTTGACCTCATTTTTAGTGAGGTCTAGTCTTCTTCTAGCTGGTCAGTAGATGACACAAACGAAACATAAATTTCTCCGAACTTAAGTTTTTCCCTAATGCAGTGACAGTTAATCTCAATATGCTTGGTGTGATCAATGATCATATTGGACCAGGTTGTGAGCAATGCTAACGGCAGCCTTGTTATCACAAAACAACTTTAGGTGAGCGGAAACTGTTATACGTAGTTTATGGAGCATGAAGCGTAACTAGAGAGCTTCACAAATTCCTAGGGGTACGGACTGAAATTCGGCTTCCACACTGCTTCTAGCAACTACAGACTGCTTCTTGTTTTTTCACATGACCAGGTTTTCCCACACAAATGAGCAGTACCCCGAGGTAGATCGCCAATCATGGATGGACCCAACATAAACAAGAACTGTATTTAGAATTTCAAGAAATTCTCCATTGTGATCCATCAGGACAATCATTGGTTTGCGCAAGAAAAGATTGTTTTCCGTCAACATGTCAATACATATTTCTACTTGTCAATACATATTTCTACTTAGACAAGCAAATGCTGATGACCGAGCAACTTACATGCCTAAGAAGTATCAGAGAGATCTCAAGTCCTTTATTTCAAAGGAAGCAACAAAAATGTCTTTCAAAGACTCCAATACTAGTTGATCATTACCTGTGAGAACAATATCGCAATATAAACGTTAAGGATAACTATCCGGTCACTGGAGGAATGCCAGAAAAAGAGTGTGTGATCCGATTGAACCAAAGTGAATACATGACCCACCACCACCTTTGTGAATTTCTCGACCATGCCTGTGGTGATTGCTTCAATCTGTAGAGGGATTTTCGCAATCTGCTGGCTGATCATTACCTGTGAGAACAATATCGTCAATATAGACGTTAAGGATAACTATTCGGTCATTGGAGCCGTAGAGGGATTTTCGCAATCTACATACTTACGCAGTGGAGTCAAAGCCTGGAGGAAGAGCCATGTATACCTCCTTTGTAAGATCGTCATTTAGGAATGCATTCTTGACATCGGGTTGGAATAATGCTCAATCCAGATTCACTACAAGGTATAAGAGGACCCAAATGGTGTTTAATTTAACAACTAGAGAAAAAACCTCCTCATAAATGTGTTTTGTTGCGTTAGAAGGATCCATTAGATTTAAACTTGATGCTAGAAATTTATTGGCATCCCACTACGTTTTTGCCTTGAAGAAGATCAACAATATCCCAAGTAATCTCCTCTATGACAACATATGTTTAGGTTGGGTCTGCTAAGACAGCCTCAATAGTAGATGAAAGCTGATGATTGGTCAGGGCCGTAACAAATGCTCTGTAGGTTGGCGATAACCTGTGAAGAGAGACATGGTTTGTCATGGGATAGAGAGAACATATCTGATTGCGTACCTTACTGAGGAACTGATTTCCTCATTTGGAGTACGAGCAATGCTGAGGATATTGTTCGAAGGGGATTCAGGGTCCATCAAGGGGTTAGCGAGCTTTGGAGTAGGAGCATCAGAAGGACTGCATCGGGTGTAGACACAGAGAGCAGGAGGATGCACTGGTGGAGCCAAAGGGACGGAGGATTCCTCGTTGGTACGAGAAGAGGGGGGAGCCATTCCTCGTTGGTACGAGAAGTGGGTGGAGCCAATTGAATAGAGGGTTCCTCAATGGTAAGTGATTTGGGGGGAACATCCACAAGATTTGGGTAAGGAACAATGTCCAAGAACTCTGGCTCCCCCTCACTGGTGGCCTAGTTAGAAAAGTAGGGAACACTTTTATAAAAGGAGACATCAACTCTCACCGATTTTATTTGTGGCAGGGTCAAGGCACTAAGACTCGTTTTGAGTGGCAGAGTATCCGAGGAAAACACATTTTATGGATCTATCAAGTTTACTCCAAGTTGGGGCCATGTTCCGAACAAAGTTTGTGCATCCAAAAATTTTGAGATCTAAATTGAAGAAGACCCAATTGTTAGGAAAACATGATCTCAAGAAGGTTAAAGGGGTACGAAAATTGTGAATTTTTGAGGGAACTCTGTTGATGAGATAAGTGGCGGTAAGAATGTCGAGGCAATGTTGATTTTTTCTTTCAACTACTCTATTTTGTTGAGTGTTGTTACATGAGCTATGATGGAAGATGCCCTTACTTTCCAAGAAATCTCTTAATATAGAGTTAAAAAAAAACACGACCATTTTCAGTCCGAAGGACTTGAATAAGAGTTTTGAATTGGTTCAAAATGAATCTGTGGAAGTTGTTGAATGTGACAACTTTAAATTAATTTTTTAAAATATAAACTCATATTATCTAAGTGTGGTCATCAATTAAAGTAAGGAAACACCGTTTTTTGGTGTAGCTAGGAGCGCAAGAGGGTCCCCATAAGTCACTGGGAATAAGAGAGAAATAAGCAAAAGCTGTGTAATTGCGTGGTGGATAAGAAACACGATGATATTTATCTAAGTGACAATTTTCACATTTAAAATTAGAATGATTTTTATTAGTAAAAATTAACATATACAATTATTTTAGATATTGGAAACTAAAATGACAGAAATGACAGTGTAACAACATAATAAGACATTCATTGAACTGGGATAAACTGCAACTATTGGTTGGAATGTCCTCATTCTCCATATTTTTATCTGAGAAGCAGTAGAACATGTCTACTTTCTTAGTAGTTCTAATCATCCTCCTCGAACGACAAATCCTGAAAGACATAAACATCAGAGGAAAAATGAGCAACACAGTCAACTTAGTGATAGATAAAATGTTACACTTCAGTAGAGGTACATGTAACACATATTCCAAAGTTAGAACTGTTGCTAAAACAACAGATTCTTTACCAGCAATGGGGCTTTGTGTCCCACCAACATTTTTAGCAGTATCTTTCTCTGAGCAAGGATAATATATTGAGAAGACTTGAGAGCTTTCAGTTGTGTGGTTCGTAGCACCTGAATCAATGATCCATGAACTAGAAGGGGTAAACGAAAAGAATGTCATAGGATTGGTACCGAGACGAATGTGGGAGGTTGACGGGCCGAAAGAGAGCGAACTAGATCCAAATAGCTTGATTAAGTGCTCCATTTGACTTTTAAGAGAACTAGAGGATTTCAGATTGCTTTGGGCAGAGGCCGGTTGTACTGAGCGAGACTCAGATGCCGTAGCAAGAACCTTGACAGCAGAAGATTTGGTCAAAGGTTTGAACGAAGGTTTGGACGTAGGTTTCCCGTGGAGCTGCCAACACTTATCACGAGTGTGATTGAGTTTGCGACAGAAATCACAAGTGGGGCTACCGGTTCGAGGTTGAGCACTATTAGGGACTAAGGCAGATGCTTCGACAGACGGAGTGGAAGTACCAAGCATGAAAAGTCTCCTCTTTTCACGATGAATCTCAGTGAAAAATACGCGAGTAGAAGGAAGAGGATCTCTACTAAGGATATGACCCTACACTTCGTCAGGATCTTTGTTGAGGCATGCTTGAAATTGAAACATGCGATCATTTTCTATAAATTTCTTGAAAAGAGACAGGTTGGTCGAAGATTCCCAAGTGTGGTAATAATATTGGTCACATTCCATCCATAATGCAACTAAATCATTATGGTACCCAGTCATGGTCTTGGATTCTTATTTTGCCTCATGAGGTTTCTTAGAAACCTCATAAAGTTGACTGAAATTTTCAACATCCGAGTAGGTATCACTGATCACCTTTCAGAGGGTACTAACGGAAGGAACATATATGATCAGCTAATTGAAGTCTCCATGGAGTTGATCAGTCACAATAATGACCATGAAATTCTTCACTTTCCAAGCTCCATACACTGGTTCAGTCTTTGGAGGTTCACGAATCATACTAGTAAGATGACCAAAATTTTCACGTCATTTAATGAACGAAGATACAGATTGAGACCAATGAAGAAAGTTACTATTGTTTAGTTTATGATTTGTGGTCAAGAAGTTCCTGCTCTTTTTTTTTCCTCCGATCTATAGAGGAATGGAGGTTGGAATTGATCATCTGGTGTAATCAAGAACACCTTTTGATGACGGCTCAATGCTGGAGGAGTCAGTTGTTATTTCGATTGAGCCAAAGGTTGCTGAGACATCGCAAGGTTCCTACTGCTGGCAAGATTCCACTTTGGATCGCTGAATGAACTCAAGTTATGGAACCTTTAACTGAAAGTGAACTTTGTGACACTGCTGGCAAAGATTCCACTTGGGATCACTGAAGAACAAGTTATGGAACCCTTCACTGAAAGAACAAGTGTTGGAGACAGGAGTAGGGAATCCTGGAGACGGGAACTTGGCAGCCCGCCTGGGGATCTTCTTTGAAGGCTTGAACCTAGCTGCCAGGAGTCGCGATTATGGAGATGGTATCCAGGGGCAAAATTTAGGAAAGCTGTTGGAACCTGGGCAGGGAGGCAGAGGTGGCTGAAAGCAGACCTAGCTGGCTACAAGGAGAGCCTGATAGCTAGTTTTGGGCCATAGCTCTGATACCATGTTAGAATAGAACCTAAGGTAAGTTTTATTGATGCAAAGAGGGGTATAAACACCCATTACAGGATCTACTAGTAATGAAAGAAATAAAATCAAAATAAAGGGAAAAATGTAAAGCAAATAAAAGCAAATCAAAGTAATAACAAAAATCTGTATATTAATATTCTAATACTCTAATATATCCATTATCAGAAGTGGTCACAATCTCAATAAGACGTTGCGGGAACAAGATGCATAATATGGTTTGATAAATTATTGGAAGTAAATTTTGGAAAGACAAAAATCTAAGGCATTAGTAGCGGTTCATAAAATAAATTAAAAAAGTGTTATAAGATTTGATTAATATTAGAACTTCCTAGACTTCACTTTATGACTGTTCATCATACGTTGTTTGATTTTTATAATCTTATTTCTTAGAGATACCTCAAATATACATATCTGTGGTTGAGCAATGGTCACAATGTCGTCTTATAAGATGCTGTTGGAAGAAGAGTTTTAGTGTGGTTTGATAAAATAGTGGAAGTAAATTTGGAAAGAGAAAAGTTTGAGGCATTAGTAGCAGGTTCATAAAATAAATTTGACCAGTGTATTTTAGATTGGTTTACTACTAAACTTCCTAGAATTTCAATTTATGAGTGTTGCGACTTTTTTATATGCTATGCTTCATAAAGTTGATACTACTATTTGAAGATTTTAAGCCCTGACA